GGGGCCTGAAGTCTTCTATGTGTTAACATATGCAGTTTGTTTGGCGCTGTTGGCCCATCGTGGAGAGGAACACAATCGAATTTTGACAATTAATGAAAAAATAGCTTTTGTTGAAGTTGCGTACAACCCTTCCTCATCTCATCCCCATCTTTTCCTCAACTACTCCAAATAATCAAAGACATTTTCAAGCATTTCGCAATACTTTTTCGCCTCATAACCTAACATTTTCGGCCAAAAATTTCACTTTTTTTTCACTGAATTTTGCAAGTTAACGCTGATTTTTGTCCAATTTTGTGCAACCATCAGTATCAACTATTAGTATCCAATTTTACCTTAATGTTGTAATTTCGAAATTTTCTTTATCGTCGATACGACATGTCACTGTTCCATGCTCTTCGCCATTTTTATTTAACATTCTGATCTGCTCCCGAGTGAATAACTCCTTAAAAATTTGCAATATCATTTGCAGAACAGAAACAGTAAAATCCCGAAAAAAAAGGACAAGGAAGGAGGGGGAAATCCTTGTATCTCTGAGCTAAAACCATCAAATCAGTTCAATTCCCCCTATCAATCACAGTATCAAAAGAGCATTCAGTAATCACGTGAGATTCTCCCATTTCACTACAAGAATTCGGCAATTGAGCCTTACCCAAAAAACACATTTTTGCTAATAAAAACCAAAAAACCTCTCTCTATGGACAAAAAAGAGTCAGTGACGTCACAGGATTTTTCTATTTCAAGCAATGTCCTACCCATTTCAGTACGAAAATCTGACAATTACGCCTCATCCAAAAAAAAAAAATTTTGCCAAAACCCATCTATCCACCTTTGAAAAAACCACAAAGTCTTTCTGTGGGCAAAAACAGAGTTTCAGGTACTAACTTTCATTTGCTCAGGTGTAGCATCCGTTGCGAAATCGACATCCGATGGCTTGATGCCCATTAGCAAATCACGAACTGCGCCACCGGCCATCCTGAAACACATGAAAATGACACATTTTAAGTCAAAACAAGTTGCTGCGGGGACACACACACACACACATATATACACATACACATGCACACCCACACATACACACATACATATACGCACACATACACATATAATCCCGTAACAATATGCATTTTGTACTGCTGTTACACAGCACAAAAAGAATAAATACTAGCATGATCAGTGGTGTTATTAAGTGTGAAATGATGCCCGGCATTACTACAGAACCGTGCCTTGCTATCTGTAATATTTAAGTGCGGTCATACATATAATTCTTCAAAACAGCCGCCGTCCTAAAGTAGCCATCTAGTGATACGCGATATTCACGAAAAATTCTGAGAAAATTCGTAAGCATTTCAGCTTCTTCTGTAGTAACAGTTAAGACTAAGCTTCGCACCTATTTTTTAGTTTCTCTGTGAAATCAAATATTTCAAATGTATCAAGCATCCTTCGCTCCATTGCTCTCTCTCCATCACAGCCATCATTTGCTTTTCGGCTTTTGTCAGTGACCACGTTTCGAATCCATATATCTGTGTTATGCAAACTGGGGACCTCAGTCCTGATTTCAGCATACAGAGAAAATCATCGATTCGGAGAAAATTTTCGCCCTGCTACCTCTGATAATGCGTGTAATTAACTTAATGTGCATAATCAAATCAAATTTAAATATTTTATGGTTATGGAGAAGGATGCAGCCAAAAAGTAATAAATAAAAGTAAAAATAATTGGCCAACGCACGAGCTGCCCCTGCGAAGATGCGTTTTTTGCATAGTTTCTTGCAGTTTTTGTCCCTACCGGTACCGGTTTTCCCGGCAAATGCTTTTAGCTAAACAGATTAAGACTGACCGCCGGAACTGTCAGGAAGCACCCCCTTAAAATTTCAGCTTTCAAGCCTTCCTGGCTTCTAATCAGCAACTTACTCAAAAAAAAAAATTTCTCACAGGCCCGTACGTGGGTACCACGCTTACTCAGAGGCTGAGTTTGGGCTCATTAATACCTAGTTGGACGGGGAAAATCCCCTTAAGATTTCAGCTTCCTAGCTTCTCAGATCCCCGAGTTACGAACTTACGAAAAAAATTTTGGTAGGCCCTTACGCGGGTACCACGCTTACTCGGGGACTAGGTTTGAGCTCATTTAGAATTACGTGGACGGGGAGCCTCCCCTTAAAACTTCAGCTTTCTAGCTTTTCTGATTCGCGAGTTAGTAGCTTATCCGTAAAAAACTTTGGCGGGCTCTTACGTTGGTGCCACGCGGGTAAGACCGCCCATTTTGGAGATGGGGGCTCGTACGTGCATGTAGATTAAATCCCCAAAGTTTCAGCCCTGTAGCTCTTGTAGGTCTCGAGATGAAAAATCGGTACAGACGCGCAACGCACACACAGACACACACACAAACACACCCAGAAACACACACACAAACACACACACAGACAACCTCTCGTCAATATGCGTTTTCCGCATTGCATGGATGCAAAAAACGCATAATAAAAACAGAAAGCATGAAAAACGAAATTTTCATTGACCAAAAACACCCCCAAACAATGAAAACAGCTCGAAAAACAAGAAATCCAAAAAAACCTACCTTAGCTGAAAGTCATTTTTCCGGAAGAGATCATTGAGTTTGATGAGTTGTGGCGTAAAAAGAGCCCGAAATTCTGGTGTATCAAGCTTACG